GCGCTCGACCAATCACAACACACTGATCCAGCCGACCAATCAGAGCACAGTGTGCTTTTCAGGAGGAGGGGCTTCACAGAGACAGGAACTAAACAGAGCGTTACTGACAGACTGGGAAGAGACGAGCCGCAAAAATGGAGAATATGAGGAAATAATCAACATTCAAGCGGGAAAATCTGTAGTAGTGTTGAAATTAACATTAACTAAGATGATTTTTAAGTAATTTTAATTGTTAATTCATGAAATTATGCTAACTAATTGAATCTTCATAGTGTTACCAAAAATATGGTAAATTATGACAAAATAACAAAAAACAAAATAGCAATCCAAATACAGCAAGAAAGGAATGATGTTTTGTCGACTCCACAGATACAGTAATATAGTATCTCATACAGCCCCAATCCACCAAGCTGTTTCCAATGAAAATCTCAGTATTGGAAAATCAATGACTGGAAAGAGCCGAGTTGCTCTGTGGGCCACAAATAGACAGTTCCTCCAATAGCAGACATTGTTTTAACCCAACAGCAAATCGATTTGTGTTCATTCCCAGTTCTGGCCACAAGAGGATACGATCTATTTAGGGAAAGAGCTGAATAGGTCAAAAACAATGCGTGAAGCAATTAGTATCTTGACTGGATAGAGTATAAATATGTTTTCTATAGGGTTTATAAGGCATTTGAGGTAAACCAAGCATCCTTTCTGAAGAGTGGGCCGTTTGTGTCAATAAATCCATTTTCTTGTAATTGATGATTTGGATTTGTTGTGTCATGTGTTTGTGCAGTTCCTCAGATTGAGAGTGACTGTAGATGTGTGTGTGTTTGAAGATGAGAGCTCACACTGATCCAGTGACGGTCACGCAGAGGCTCTTTGTCTCATGTGTCGCTCTGTTCTAAAGAGCAGACCTGGGGTCAGACGCCAGATTTGATGAATTATTGAAAGAGGGCTCAGAGTAAAATTGCTTTCATGTTTAAGCCTTTATTTATATATATTTACTAAACTGTAGAAACAGCATTTTGAATTGGGCTCAAAATCCTTTCTGTTTGACACACATCTTCATGTGAATGTATCTGTCTGTCTGTCTGTCTGTCTATCTATCTATCCGTCGATCTATCTGTCTGTCTGTCTGTCTGTCTGTCTGTCTATCCATCGATCTATCTATCTATCTATCTATCTATCTATCTATCTATCTATCTATCTATCTGTCTGTCTGTCTGTCTGTCTATCTATCTATCCGTCGATCTATCTATCTGTCTGTCTGTCTGTCTGTCTGTCTGTCTGTCTATCCATCGATCTATCTATCTATCTGTCTGTCTGTCTGTCTATCCATCCATCCATCCATCCATCCATCCATCCATCTATCTATCATCTATCTATCTATCTATCTATCTATCTATCTATCTATCTATCTATCTATCTATCTATCTATCTATCTATCTATCTATCTATCTATCTATCTATCTATCTGTCTGTCTGTCTGTCTGTCTGTCTATCCATCTCTCTGTCTGTGTCCCTATCTATCTATCTATCTATCTATCTATCTATCTATCTATCTATCTATCTATCTATCTATCTATCTATCTATCTATCTATCTATCTATCTATCTATCATCTATCTATCCATCTATCTATCCGTCTATCTATCCGTCTATCTATCTATCTATCTATCTATCTATCTATCTATCTATCTATCTATCTATCTATCTATCTATCTATCTATCTATCTATCTATCTATCTATCTATCTATCTATCTATCTATCTATCTGTCTGTCTGTCTGTCTGTCTGTCTGTCTGTTTGTCTATTTGTATATTTGTCAGTACATTTTACAAGAAAATACTCTTTCAGTCTTTCTACTTCAAAGTTTGCACATTTAATTCAATGTGCTACTTGCCCATTCTTTGCAATTATTTGTGAAATTTCTGAGTGAAATTGTTTATACACCTTTTTTTTTTTTTTCAGCACAGACAAGATTTCCGTTCCTTCATCTGTCTTGTACATCTCATTTTTAACATGCAGTCAGGAAACCAAATAACACTGGAAGAAGCACCCCGGAAGTTACATAAACGCTCAAACCATTCTTAAGCATGGATGTAAACTTCTATAATGATCCCTGGCATGCTTGTCCCTCAGGCTGTCCTAGACACACTAGGCCGTCAATCAAAGCTATAATGGCCACCCATGCTGCCAGTGACTGTCTGAAACCCCTTCAGAGCGCTGGCTGGACCGGGACGAGGCTCGGGCATTAAAGCACATCTCAGTGAGCAATGACATCCAGTGAGATCCAGGCTGACTCACGAACACTCACTGACACTCACATCAGGAGCTGTTCCTGCAAACCGCTGATCGCTCTGACACATCGCAGGGTCACTTAATATACATCAATCCCTCATGTTTCATAAGTGGAGGAAGTTATTCAGGAATGAGCGAGAGCCCAGGGTTTGGGGCGTTTGTGTGTCTGAATAAGAAGGGTTGCAGGGCGTTCTGTATTCAAAAGAACAAAACGCCTTTTGAGAAGAGCCTCTATTACAGTTTTGCTTTGGTACATTTCTCAGATCAGAATTGAAATTCTCAAAACAACCTGTTCAATCTTCACATCATTGTGTCACTTGTGCACATCAAAAAAGCAGTTTCTCATTTCTTTGAACAAGTTGCAAATGATTTGGTACATCCATCCAAATGATTATATTCTCTGCTGTTTCCTACATTATCAATCGCTTATGTCATGTTGATCAAAATGTATTATAATGGGTCTCTGTTGAATAGTTGATCCCTGAACAAGTTGTCATAATCACGCATATTTCTATACATTTCCATTAGACTTTTTTTCTAAATCTGTCCTGTTCACATTTCTACTTTTGATTTTTTCTTTTTTTTTCTTTGTGCGATGGAATGCTGTCTTTTCCTTTCTGTATCGCAACGACATGGTCTGTCAACAAATTACAGTACAAACAGTAAAAGCGTAAATGTGAATCTTGTCCAGTCTCTTGCAATCAAACTCCCACATACAAGGTGTGTAACCTACAATTTACAATAATTGTCATCAAAACTTTATCCATAGTTTACATCAGACCATCCCTCCAGAGTACACTGTTATATTGACAACATGATTAAGCAATTTGACCGTCTTATCCGTACACAACGACACAAGGACTTGTCATTCTGATGGCACTGACATGTTCACTGACACAGATATGTACTTTTGAGTGATGAACTAAGGATTTTGAGAAAGAGACTGGCTTTTGCAGGAAATCCATGGTGTTTTGCTATTTGTATGAATTGTTTTGAGAAATGCACTTACAAATTTCGAGGATGATTCGAGAAATGTACCAAAGCGACTGAGAAAAACAGAAAAAAATAATTTTTAGTCAGCATGAAACAGAAGTTGCACATGTCTTGTCTTCCCTATTGTGCTGTATATCCGAGTGAAACGGCTTCTCAAACAAGAACAAATGTGAGCGGGGCTTGATTTTGTCCATGGGGAATTGATTGGATGATTGGATGGTTGTGGTTTGCTATTGGCTGATCTCATGTGAGTGACAGGTTGCTCCGCCCTCGTCATCAGAGAAGAGAAGAGATGGAATTCGTTTAAAATAATAGTCCATAAAAAAATAAAATAAATAGTCAATTTTGATTTCATGTTGACTTTAAAGGCTTCAGTGAATATGGTATCACAGCTGAGCTTCCGGCCCGCATGGCTCGGTTTAATCTTCCCACAGATAATATTTCCAGGATCGGGGCCAATCGGGCAGGATTTAAAAATATCCATCTCTTATTTGGAACTGCATTTTTTAACAGCAGTTTGTGTTTATGAAGTCAGTCTTAAGCCTGCTGTTTATGATTTATGGCGTCATGATGTGACAATTAAAGTGGGCGAACAGAGAATACTTCAGCTGTCATGTGAATCTATCAGTCAAGAAGTGATGTGAAACCTAGAGCCCCATGCAATGTCCCCTGGATGTCAACTAGTCATGACTATTATTATCATTGTTAGCCGAGCTGCACAAGTTGACAACACAAGATCAGTCTTGTTTCATGCAACAAATGTGTCAAATCTATTTCTTTTTAACACCATCACAACTCTCTGCGTGATGGGCACAACACCATCCGATCCTTCCGGATGCTTTCATCACTGATGTAGTTGGACTACAATTAGGCTATATTGTTTGGACTAGGCTATAATATGCAGATATTTCATGTTTTGAGACTTCTCAGACTCAGACAGAGAAGCGTGTGGAAATATGCCAATGCTGATTCAAACCAAATGAAGTTATTAATTTAACACGATTACATAATTGACATGTTTTCTTATGAATATGAAAGCCCCGCCCAACACGTCTCTCGTCTCGACCGCGTCGTTTAGAAACAGATCTATCCCGAGTGAACGATCCTTCTCCCTTCGAACAATAGTGTCCTGTTGCAATTGAATTGTTTTGCTTTATCGCTCTATACCTCTCCGCTGTTCTGTTGAAATCAGCATAGATGTGTTTGGATATTAAAGCATCCATCAGAGGTTGTATTTTCCCTGACTGCAGCATATTCCTGCAGGAATCTCTCCCGCACGCGCCGCCCCCTTTATAAATGATGCGTGAAGGATCTCCGGGATCACACCACTCCGAGACTTCGGAGAACTCAGGACCAGATGCTCATCTCTGTCTCTTTTTCACTCTTTTCTATTACCTTTTAATACAACCCGTCACTTTCTACTTATTTCTTCGTCGATGAGGCTTTCGTGTAGCACGCGCGCACCCATGAACAAGTGCCGTTCGGTTTCTTCCGTGAAATCAGGGAGTTTCCAGCACAGATAATACTAAATGTGGAGGTGTAAGAGCTTTAGATGCGATGATCCTCGGCGATGTTTAGACGCGAGATGGGACGCAGGGTTCGCCTGTAACATGCGCGGGTCGCGGGATCCCCACTGACACACTGATCACAGACTGTCACAGACACTTTTGGAGATTGCGTGAAAATGGTCCAGAACGTGATTTTGGTGTTTTTCCGCAGGAGATTGAGTCAGAGACCAGCAGTGGAAGAGCTGGAGAGCAGAAACATCCTCAAACGTGAGTATCACACCTGTCAGATGAGAGAAAGACTAGAGCTGCATACAAAAACTACTTTCTTTTCCATGGATTTTTTTGTTTTGTTTTGTAACTTATAATGGATTTTTCTGTGTTTTTGTTATTGTTATAGTCACACTTTGCGTGTTTAAAATTCATATATACTACTCTATGTTTAAAAGAAAGTGTATATTTTTATTTAGCCTACAGTAAAGCAATTCTGTCAGGGAAAATGTAAAGTCTACTTCGTGTGGTCATGTCTAAATGAACTGGATGTATTCAACAAAACTGCTTGACTGGATTAGGAAAGACCACGAAAGTCATTTTTAAGAGTTAGGTCAGGTACACTCAAATAACCTTTGTCTTTTTTCAAGATTTATGCATTTCAATTTATAGTAAAATTCCATCAAATTGAATTAAATAATCCTTACTCATTTTATGAATTTTTCAGTTCACATAAACAGTCCTCCAGTGACAAATGAATTTGAGCTACTCATATTCCATGTAAATCTAATGAACAGCATGAGGTTATACATGTTTAGATCAGATTAGGTTGGAATAAAGAGATCATCTGTCAGGAGCTTGACACAATAATATCAGCGGCTACAGACTCTTACACAGATCTACACATGAGCAGAAACACAGCTTCATTTAACTGTTTTATAATTGCTTTTTTGATGAATTATTGATTATTTAGATAGATAGATACTTTATTAATCCTTCTCAGGAAATTAGATTTGTTACAATAACATCAACCACATTCAGTCCTCGCACACAGACAACATCAATCTATACCTGACTACATTCAACAAAACTTTCACTAAAGCATTCTATAACCTATAATATATTAACTAAAACATACCCTATAATGATAATACTAAAAACAAATACACAAACAAAATTAACTAAAGCATACAACCCCTATTTTAATAATACTAAGAACATACGTAAAAAAATAAATAAATAAGAATAAATAAATAAATATAAATCAGACATGAAATGGCGTATGTATGACACGCCAATTCGTATTTTCATTTTTGGCGTGCTATCAACACGCATAATCGCTTTTCAGCGTGTTTATCAACGCCTTTGACTTAACGTTATATTACTGTATTATGTATATATAAATATATGACCTACCCCAACCCCGTCCCTAAACCTACCCGTCACTGGGGTTAATACCATTTATGAGTCTTCTCCTACCATCCTAGGAAAAGAAATATCGCTCCACAGATGTAGATATAGATTTTGCTTCGTTTCGCTCGGACATTTAACGGCGTACACATACACGCGGAATCACTCGGACATTTAATGGCGTAGACATACACGCAAAAGATTTCGGCGTGGACATACACGCGGATAGCTCAAAATGCGTATAGATAACACGCCACTTGAATTGAAAGTGGCGTGTATGTTTACGCAAAGTCATGATGTCATGTTGGTTATTAGGATCTTTATAAAAATAAAAAAATAAAAATAAATCTATTAAAATCTATTTTCTGTTTCGGCTTTTCTTTAGGAATTTTACAAACCTTGCACACTTGTGCTGGCTCTTGTTTATTTAGCAGAGCCTAGGCACCTGTGTGTGTATCTGTGCTGACACACACTCTCACACAACTGCCATTCCAGGCAAGAACAGAAGCTCAGACACAACATTCTGCTTGCATTTTATTTTACAGTACGTACACTTATGTGTACTTGCATGAGAGTACTGGGTAGGTAACTACAGGTTAGGTTTAGGGTTAGTACCTAGTTATTGTAATTACTATAATAAGTGCACAGAATGTACATGGAGAACAGGACTGTAAAATAAAGTGCTAACGAAGCACTAACCATTTTCTTAAAGTGAAGTAATCATTGTGATATTCTAAAGAATCTTTTTCCACTATAAAGAACGATGGTAAATGTTCTACACGGAACCATCAATGCCAAAAAACAACCTTTATTTTTAAGAGTCAAAGCAAGGACGAGCAACAAGCAGAGTGTCCTAAAGAATTGGAACATTAAAAGCGTTTTCCAAAGTGGTTTATCGCAGTTTAATCATAGTGGATCAACACGTGCGGCTGTTAAGTCCTCCGCAGCACAGATTCTGATAATCCACATATTTGACAGAGGGAGATATAAGGGAACAATGTTATCCTGCTCTGTGAAAGAATAAAGCCTATCAAAGAAATGCGGTAATCTGGCGCTCTGCTGTGGTGAACGAGGGTCTTCAGGACAGCTGCCGACACACATGCTCACCAGATCTGGTTTGAACATGAGTTTGACGTGGAAACCAGAAAAAAAAAATAAGAATATTGGTTTAATAATGTTAATTAAAAAAATTATATATACATTTTGAATATAATATATACTGACATTTGAATTAAAAGTGCAGTAAGCGATTTCTGAGAAACACTTTATATTTGAAATCAACCCAAACAAACACACCCCTCCCTTCATCACATTGTTCACAACAACTGCATATCTTGGTTCTGTGTATCATAGCAAAACCAATGTTACTCAGTGTCCGTTTTCAGGCCATCCCGCTGAGGTCTTTCCAGCACTGGGAAGCTTTTCTAATATTAATGCTGATCATAACCCTTCTGATACTCCTCTGGCCTCCTTTTCTCTTTTGTGATGTCTCTCAGGCATTTCTCTTTCTACAGTCTTTCTTCAAATCTCGCTCACTCTCTCTCTCTCCTCCCTCATCATGATTGGACACGCCCCCTACTGTTGATTGGTTCACTCACTCTCCTCCCTCATCATGATTGGACACGCCCCTACTGTTGATTAGTTCACGCTCTCTCCTCCCTCATCATGATTGGACACGCCCCCTACTGTTGATTGATTCACTCTCTCTCTCTCTACTCCCTTTTCATGATTGGACACGTCCCCTACTGCTGATTGTCTCACTCTCTTTCCTCTCTCATCATTAGTGGACACGCCCCCTACTGTTGATTGGCTCACTCTCTTTCCTCCCTCATTATAAGTGGACACGCCCCCTACTGCTGATTGGCTCACTCTCTTTCCTCCCTCATTATAAGTGGACACGCCCCCTACTGCTGATTGGCTCACTCTCTTTCCTCCTTCATCGTTAGTGGACACGTCCCCTACTGCTGATTGTCTCACTCTCTTTCCTCTCTCATCATTAGTGGACACGCCCCCTACTGCTGATTGGCTCACTCTCTTTCCTCCCTCATCGTTAGTGGACACGTCCCCTACTGCTGATTGGCTCACTCTCTTTCCTCTCTCATCATTAGTGGACACGCCCCCTACTGATTGGCTACATCCAATCCAAAACATGGTGTGTTGTGTGGCGTTCAGTCCAATCCAGTTTCAACCACGTTTTTCAGAAATCGCTTACTGCATCTTTAAGAGAATCTAATAGCTTAAAGAAACTGATACTCTAGCAGTCGTACACGAGTGAGGTTGAGTGAATCGTGCTCTTCATGTGGTGCGCTGGATTAAGTTAATCTGTCTGTACCTCTGTGGACGGTGTGTGTGCTTCTTCTCATGTGTTTGTGTGTTTTTTGTTGTTGGATTTGCAGAGAGGAATGACCAGACAGAACAAGAGGAGAGAAGAGAAATCAAACAAAGGCTGAACAGAAAGGTGTGTGAATCCTGACAGAGACACATATACACACATATCGGCTCTGTTGTCATATGTAGTATGCACTCATAGTCACTGCTTAGTCACTCATGTGCAGCATTGGCTCATGAACCTATAAACTCCCTATGTCACCCTATAAAAAATATTTTTAAGAATATTGTTGATAACAATTGGACAAGATTACAATTCTTAAGAGAAAAATCACAAATACCTCCACTCTGCAAATATTGCATTCCGCAAATGCTGAAGTTAATGGAAAAGCATTGATTGATGTTTATTAAACCATTAAGCCAAAAAAAGTGACACAAGCCCCTTTATGTGGTAAAATCATTTAAACTAAACCTCGAGAGGCTTTGCAGAAACAGAAGAATGAAAAAAGACACCAATGGCAAATAAATAAATGTATATATTAATGATTTGAATCATTACTAATTGAGTTAATGAGTTCATCATGAGCCTACTGTAACTGTAGTCTGTGTCTTTTGTTGCCATTACAACAGATTGAAACATGCAGCTCATCATTTGTTAACTGTGCAGCTGTTTGACTAAACCTCTCTCTTTCTCGTGTGTTTCCAGCTCAACCAGCGGCCCACTGTTGATGAGCTGCGGGACCGGAAGATTCTGATCCGTTTCAGTGATTATGTGGAAGTGGCCAAAGCTCAGGATTACGACAGGAGAGCAGACAAGCCCTGGACGAGACTGTCGGCTGCAGATAAGGTGTGTGTGTGTTATGGACTCACACACACCCCCTACAGGACACCACACACAAGACCAGTCATTTTACATTTGATATAATATAAAATACAAAATACTACACTGTAAAAAAAAACTTTGACCTATATCAACTTAAAAACTTACATTTTCAAGTATTATCAACTTGGTTGTAACAGTCATTTAAACTTAAATGATATTAAACTGACTTAAAAAAAACGAGTTGAATCTCGTATAACATAAAAAAAATGTTTAAATAGTTAAAATACTGCCAAAAAGTTGCCAAAATTTTTTAGGGCTTATGGATCTACAATATCCTGATATGTTATTAAGCACATCAATAAAAGGATAGATAAATAAATAAATTAATGAATTTTATAAACAATCATGGGGGGAAAAGTTATAAAAAGTATATGGTGTGTTAAACAGTTCCACGCTGCATTATCAAATTATAGCCAAAATACTTCTTTGAAAGAAATTAATACTGTTATTAATCAAGGCTGTATTGGTCAAAAGTGACAGTAAAGACACTTATAATGTTACAAAAGATTTCTATTTTTTTAAATGCTTTTTAAAAACTTATTATTCATCAAAGAATCCTGAGAAATGAAATGTATGACGATTTCCACAAAAATATGAAGAACTATTTTCAACATCGATAATAATCAGAAATGTTCCTTAAAAAGCAAATCAACATATTAGAATGATTTCTGAAGGATCATGTGACACTGAAGACTGGAGTAATGATGATGAAAAATCCGCTCTTTTAACAGAAATAGAAAACAGCTATTTTAATGTGCAACAATATTTATCAATGTTACTGTTTTGACTGTATTTTTGATCCAATAAATGCAGCCTGGTTTCCAACCCAAAACTTTTGAATGGTGGTGTAGTGAATAAACAAGCTCTAGAGGCGTTAGTATTCTGCAGAACTGATATTCTGTGTAAGCCATATCATTTCTATAAAGCGCCAGGTGTGTTCATCAGATTGTTGTTGTTTATGCCTCGCAGGCGGCGATACGCAAAGAGCTGAACGAGTTCAAGAGCAATGAAATGGAGGTCCATGCGTCAAGCAAACACCTGACAAGGTCAGTGTGTGCTTCTACTTCTTCATGTATTTGTTCATGGCCTGTTTCCATATACTGTTCCATGTTTGCATAAGTATTCGCCACAGAAAAGTCACCGCATCGATGATAGATTAGCACTTGCTTGCGCAGTCTCTTGCGTAACCGATACAGGTGCGCGACACACACAGTAGATCAGTATGGGAGGTTGTTCTTAATATAGCTGTATCTGTTCTGAAGTGCCGAATCAGCACACACTAGCGCTTGCCGACATGTGTAACAAATGCTTGCTTACATTTAGCTTACGTCTGTTTTACGTTAGACCTCATTTCTGTGGGCTCAAATAGCTGAACAAGGTCCTGCCGAGCGCAGATCTGTCTAGAACGCACACACTCGCTGTTCTATTAATACACATTTGATGGATGATAGCTGGTTTTTTGGTCGGCCAGCACTTACAGGTGTTTTCTTCCTTCGCACTGCAGGTTCCACCGACCATAGCAAGGTTTCTTCTGTGAAGAATATGCTAACGGTATCTCTGTGAAGTCTACGACCTCAGGAGGCTGTCCATGGGCGCTCCATGGAGGGCCTGATATTTGGGCGCTAGTGAACCTTGGAGACCGTGTCTCTGGAGCTTCAGCCTGAAGAAGGCAAAACCCTCCAAACTCCTCTCAGCCGAGTTATCGAACCTTTATTCTCTTCAGGGGACTCTCGTGGGATGCTGGAAGACTGTTTGAATAAAAAGACATTCTTCTCTTCTTTTTTTTTTTTGTAATGGACTGTTTTAAATGGTCGCTTTTTGATGCCAATGGGGGGCGGGACGGGGGGATTGGGGATCAAGCATGTGACTCTTTCGAATCTTTTTTCCCACACCAGTGTTGGTGCTGTAGTGACACCCCAAACGTTTCTGGGCTCCTACTAAAACTTGAGTTTCATATCAGCTGTATAGATGTTAGTATGAGGAATGGAAATCATGTCTTACCTTTGCAAGGACTATTTATTGTCTGTACAGTACAAGCTTTGGATTTTTAACAAACGACAATGTCTGTCTTCTTTTCTGAATGGATGGATGAACAGATGGACATTAGGGTGGATAGATGGATGGATTGACATTAGGGTGGATGGATGGATGGATGAATAGATGGACATTAGGGTGGATGGATGGATGGATTGACATTAGGATGAATGGATGGATGGATGGATGGATGGATGAATGAACAGATGGACATTAGGGTGGATGGATGGATGGATGAATAGATGGACATTAGGGTGGATAGATGGATAGATGGATTGACATTAGGGTGGATGGATGAATAGATGGACATTAGGGTGGATAGATAGATTGACATTAGGGTGGCTGGATGGATGAATAGATGGACATTAGGGTGGATGGATGGATTGTCATTAGGATGGATGCATGGATGGATGGATGGATGGATGGATGGATGGATTGACATTAGGATGGATGGATGGATTGACATTAGGATGGATGGATGGATGGCTGGATGGATGGATTGACATTAGGATGGATGGATGGATTGACATTAGGGTGAATGGATGAATAGATGGACATTAGGGTGGATGGATGGATGGATTGACATTAGGATGGATTGATTGACATTAGGGTGGATGGATGGCTGGATGGATGGATTGACATTAGGGTGGATGGATGGATGAATAGATGGACATTAGGGTGGATGGATGGCTGGATGGATGGACATTAGGGTGGATGGATGGACATTAGGGTGTATGGATGACTGAATGGATGGATGGACATTAGGGTGTATGGATGGCTGAATGGATGGATTGACATTAGGGTGTATGGATGGCTGAATGGATGGATTGACATTAGGGTGGATGGATGGCTGAATGGATGGATGGACATTAGGGTGGATGGATTGACATTAGGGTGTATGGATGGCTGAATGGATGGATGGACATTAGGGTGGATGGATGGACATTATGGTGGATGGATGGACATTAGGGTGGATGGCTGGCTGAATGGATGGATGGACATTAGGGTGGATGGATTGACATTAGGGTGGATGGATGGCTGGATGGATGGATGGACATTAGGGTGGATGGATGGATGGATGGACATTAGGGTGGATGGATGGATGGACATTAGGGTGGATGGATGGATGGACATTAGGGTGGATGGATGGACAGGATGGATGGATGATGAATCAATGATGAATTGCTCCTACTCGGGTACACACTACATTTATGCTTCAACTTTCAAATGTACGGTAACACTTTACAATAAGGTTTCACTTGTTAACGTTACAGTATATTAGTTAATATAAAGTAAAAATGAAAAAAGTTCTACAGCGTTTATTAATATTAGTCAAGATTAATTTTAACATTTACTGTACAATACATTATTAAATCAAAATTTGTATCTGAATAATGTTATTGGTTTGATTTGTTTACTAAATTAGTTAACATGAACTAATAGTGAACAATACTTCTAGTGCATTAATCTTAGATATTGTCAACATTTGCAAACACATTTTTAAAACAAAAAGTTGTATCATTGAACATTAGTTGCACTGTGAACTAACACAAACATTTTTATTAACTACTAACATTAATAAATGTGAAAATATATTGCTCCTTGTTAGTGTTGATGCAAAAACTAATTGGACCTTATTGTAAAGTGTTAACAAATAGAAACTTTACTGAAAATCCTTATTTTGAAAACTGATCTCATGTGCTCATCTCTGTAACCTATGTCTCGTGTTCAGCCGAATGAAGCGATTCCTTCCGTGTGTTTTAACAGAAGCGAACCGATCCACGTACAGGAGTCTAACAGAAGCTGTCAGGAAGTCCTCGAAGAAAACGACATCTCATTATTTCCATTCTCTCTCACACAGACACACACACACACACTCTCTCTCTCTCTCTCTCTCTCTCTCTCTCTCTCTCACACACACACACACACACACACAAACAAACACACACACACACAGACACACACACACACACTCTCTCTCTCACACACACAAACACACACACACATAGACACAGAGAGAACTACATGGCTTTAGCTTGACGTTCATTGTGAATAAACACAGATTGCAGTTCTTCTTGTTGGACTTAAGTTACGGCTGTATTAGAAGAAGTGTTTGATCATGTGAGAGTCTCTGCAGAAGCAGGTCAGTGGTGTCGGGTTGATGGACAGAACATACTAATCTTACAACACACTCACACACACACCATTTCCCTCAGAGCTTAATGAAGAAGTGACGACCAAAAGACACAATATTTACATAATCACTTAAACAAATGGTGAGAAACTACAGCACTGTTTATAACTACCTTAGTTTTTGTTTTTTCTTGTGTTCTCCAACACATGAAATGTAAACCCATATCAAAGTAAAATCACAGATGTGGTAGGTTACTATACTATAGTAGAAGTCATGGTTTCAGTTCCCACGGAGAGACAGGATCAGAAATGACCTCAGTCCATACATTCTTACTATAGCCAGGTCAACAACTACTGTCTCGTTAATGTCTCATTTTATTCTCCAAAGGAGTTTTTATGGAAACAGCTGAGACAGTTCATACTCTCCAACCTGTGAGTATAATGTCTATCTCTGCTGTGACAGTAGTCAGAAAACAATGCACTTTTCAGCAGCCGAGGCTTCTCTCCTTTTAATGGAGATTTAGTATTATCTTGAAAATGACATGAAGTGTGTTGAAGCTTTTCCAGCGTCCAGTCATCGCTCTCTGTGGTGAGGGAAGATTTGTGCCAGCAACACACTTACACACGCAAACACTGTTTAGGCCTACTGCAATTTTCCTTTGCAATGTGAAATGTGTAATTTTGCACAGTGGTAATTTCAAGCCCTTCAGACTCACTCCCAGCATGACTCAATCCCTGCAGGTCATGCTCAGATATGTTGAAGTTCATGCTTGTCCATCACATTATGGGCCCTATTTTAACGATCTGAAACGCAAGTGTCAAAGCGCAAAGCGCAAGTAACTTTGTGGGCGGATCCCGGCGCTGTTGCTATTTTCCCGGCGGGATAAATGCCTCTTGCGCCTGGCCAACCCCTTGGCCAGGCGCCAACCCCTTTTAGCAAATCTAAAAGGGGTTGGTCTGAAGTAGCTTCATTATTCATAGGTGTGGTTTGGGCGTAATGTGAAATAAACCAATCAGAGCGTCATCTCACATTCCCTTTAAGAGCAGGTGCGCATGTTGCATGGCGGATTGCTATTATAACGGCGGATTTACCAGGCGCGCGCCAGGAGCCGAGGAGACCGACGTTCTTGTCAGGACCGTGAAAGACAGAGAAGTGACGTTGTATGGGGATGGGAGAAACCCACCCAAATCAGCGTCGGTTAAACAGGCGTGGGAGGAATTTTTTTTAATTAAAACTAAATTTTTTACATCTTCATGGACACCACAATGATTTCCCTCATGTGTTAATATTTTTCCTTGTTATAATGTATGATTTGCAAAAATAAAAACTGCTGCATCTGTGTTGATGAGAGAATCAAAGTGTATGCGCGTTGTGCACCCGCTACATTATGGCCAAGCATGCGCGCTTAAAATAGCATTATGAACACGCCACTGACTTTAGACTAGGTTTTTTCTGGTCAGTGGTGCAATTGTTTTATAGAACAGCAAAATAGCATGAGGGAAAGTTTGCGCCGGAACACGCCTCCTCTTTGCGCTGAACCGCCCCGGGGAGCGCAAGTGTATTTCTTAGTTGACCGACGTGTGTCTGTGGAAGGAAAAGTCCGCTTTGCGCGGGTGCAAAATAGGAATGATACATGCGTCAGTGTACAAAGTCATTTGCGCCGGGTGCAAGATAGGGCCCTATTCGTTTTTTATACAGCAGAAACTAACCGATGTCTTAGCTGAAATAAACCATAAAAAACAACTCGGTTACTCACGTAACCTCAGTTCCCTGAGTTAGGGAACGAGTATTGCGTAGCTATACGCAGTGGGGGAAACTCCTTTTCCTCGATTTACTGAAGCCTTTATGTAAAGCGCATTTGCAGCTGCACAGCTAGAACATGAGCGTCTGGCTCGCTCATAGGCTGCGCTGCGGCAACTACACATCCAATGGCGCGGGCGCCTCTGACGTGCGACCAATGAGATCACTCTGCGTCATACACGTCAGAGCCCGCCAAGGGGGTGTGACCTCAGTCTATAATAGTCCCCGAATTCACCATTATAGCAGGTTTAACGACTGAAGCGACAACTTGCCATGTTACTATAGTGCGGCTGGCTACGCAATACTCGTTCCCTAACTCAGGGAACTGAGGTTACGTGAGTAACCGAGTAGTTCCCTTTCGAACGGTCACTTCGTATTGCGTAGCTATACGCAGTGGGGACGCCATGCAAAACGCCGCACTGAGTAACTGGCTGCCACTGCAACTCAGGCCCCTGAGCATACAGAACAAGCCATAACCGCATAATTATGTATAAATAGACAAGACACCGTCAGGTCTAAAATAGTACATTTCAGTTAGAAATAACCCAACACACTACACCAATGAACCCAGACACTGTCGGGGTTATTAGTATATGAACATATAACCAGTCAAGTGGGTTTATATATGAAATTATAACCGGCCAAAGCGGGTTTTATATATGTATGGAATATAACCGGCAAAGCGGGTTTTATATATGTCATATAACCGGCCAAAAGCGGGTTTTATATATATGTAAATATAACCGGCAACAGCGGGTTTATGCATGAAATACAACCGGCCAGCAGCGGGTTTTGTATATATATATGTGAATGTGATAGTGCACAGTAATGACAAGACCGGCCACCGACGGGTCTTAATCATACCGAAGGCACCTTCGCCTGCAGGGAAGGCCGTTCCCTATTATAGAAACTCATAAATGTGGAAGGCGAGAACCAGCCGGCCGCATCACATATATCACTAATGGGAATGCCAGATGACCAAGCCCATGACGAGGCCATACCTCTGGTCGTATGGGCCTTGATACCTATAGGGCAAACTTCACCCACTACGGTATAAGCCATAGAAATAGCATCCACTATCCATCTA